ACAGAAGAATTTCATGAAACAGCAAATAAGCAGGAGCCTATGGTTATGAAGGCAGAAGTTCAAGTTGCTCTGAAAGAACTGGTAAAAACCAAAGCTACAGGAATTGATGGCCTACCAATTGACATATTGGTCATCATACCAACAGACACTGCCCTGGATGTGCTTACCAAGTTGTGCCAATAAATCTGGAGGACAATCACCTGGCCAACTAATTGGAAGAGATCTATATTTGTTCCCATTCCAAAGTAAGGTGTACTGACAGATTGTGGAAATTACCAAACAATACATTAATATCACATGCAAGCAAGATTCTGCTGAAAATTATACAAAAATGACTGGAGCACCATGACTGCAGAGAATTGCCAGGTGTGCAGGCTGGGTTTAGAAGACGGCATGATATTAGGGATATTATAGCTAATGCCAGATGGATCTTGGCTGAAAGCAGAGAGTACCAGAGTGTCTCATTGACTATGCAATAGTCTGTGTTTCATTCACTATGCAAAGACATTTGACTCTGTGGATCACAGCAAACTGTGGCTGACTCTGAGAAGAATGCGAATCCCAAAACATTTGATTGTGCTAATGTGAAACCTATACTTGAACCAGGAGTCAATCATCAAAACATAGCAAGGAGACACTGCTTGGTTCAAAATCAGGGATGTATTCTGTCTCCATAGCTTTTTAATCTATAATGAACAGATCATCTGGGAGGCTAGTCTGTATGAGGAGGAATGTGGCATCAGGATTGGAGGAAGATCCATAAACAACCTGCATTACACAGATGACACAACTGTGCTTGCTGAAACTGAGGATGACCTGAAGCACGTGCTGCAGAAGGTCAAGGACTTCAGTCTTCAATAGTAGTGTCATTATGGATGGTGAAGAGATTGAGATTGTTGACAGCTTTAGTTTGCTTGGCTTCATAATTAACTCTCTTGGTAATAGAAGCCAGGAAATCAATAGACAAATTTCATTGGGAATGTTGACTGTCAGAGACTTCTTCAGAGTACTGAAGAGCAGCAACGTCACTCTGGAGACTAAGGTGCACATGATCCAGCCTATAGTCTTTGCAATTGCTTGCTATGCATCAGAGGGATGGACAATGACTAGGGTTGATTGAAAGAGAATTGATGCCTTTGAGCTGTGGTGCTCGAGAAGAGTGTTGAATATAGCATGGACTGCTAAGTGAACAAGCAAGTTCATCCTGGAGAAGGTGAAACTGGGCTTCTACTTGGGGGCAAGGATTCTTCTGCTTCTTCTGACATACTTTGGACATTTAACAAGGAGAGTCTGCTACTTGGAGAGGGAAATCAGGATTGGGAGGGTGAAAGGACAGTGCAGAAGAGGAAGACCCTCAATGAGATGGATTGATTCAGTCACTGTGGCAATGGGGGCTGGTATGTTAGAGACAAAGGTGACATAGGATAGAACAGGGTTTAGGGCTCTTGTACATAGCATCACTATAAGTCACAAGTGATTCGATGGCACATAACAACAACAAAAACATGTCTTGATGTTTTTCTTTTTAAGTCTAGTTTTTTTGGGCTTCACTGAGCTTCTTGGATGTAGATTTCCTCATTCTTCATAACACCTGGAATGTTTTCATCTAGTACCTCTTCCACAAGTTTCTTTGTCCTTTCCCTGTCCCCTACCCCCTCATGTCCTGAGATTTCAATCATATGTATGTTGTTCCTGTTGATGTCATCCCCCATGACTCTAATGTTTTATTTCCTTTTTGTCTCCTCTACATTCACTTCTACTATGCTCCCACTGAGGTTCTTGTCTCCCTTTTTACTGCCTATCTCTTCCATCTCTGCTGTTCTAATTTTTTTTACCCCTCCAGTATACTCCAGTATGTCTGAAACTTCTACAATTTTGGTCTTGATATTCAGCTTATCTATTTTTTCTGATTCCCTGCATCTGGAGTATTTGCTTTTTATATAGTAGTCATTCTTTCTTCCATTGTTTGTGCCTTCTTTTGTAGTTATTCACATGACTCTGCAACAATATATTTCTTCTGCCTCTCTGTCTCTGGGGTATTTGTTGAGACTTCAGTATGCTCTGCTATTTTCTTTGTTTGTTTTTTATAAGAAGTCTTATTTTGATTTTTTTCTACAATATTTGAAGCTGCCTGCTGCTTTCCTGGCATTATGTAAAGGTTTTCTTGGTATGTACTAGGCCCTTTCTATTGTGTCATCATAGATTGTTGATAGTTAACATCTTTGTGATGTTACTTATTAGGTGCAGACTTAAGATGTTTCCTTTATGGGGGAGGGCAACTCTATACAGGATTCCTTTCTAGGCCTCTTTCCTAACATCCTTCAACTTCTCTTTGGACTGCAATGCAGCCCTGCAAGACTAACATGAGTGATGCTCTCCTCTTCTAAATTTTGGAATTGTCCTTGTCAGTGTTGAGGAACACAGCAACCAGAGACCTCCTTTCCTAGTAGCCAGGTGAACTCTCTTTACTTGGTGCAAGGTCAACAGAACATGGCCCTGCCTGTTTTCAGCCTTCCACTCAGTTCTCACATGCCCTCTCAATTCTCGTGTGTAGCTTAGTGGGGATCACTTCAGCCTGCGACTGTCTTCTAAAGTTTGGAACTGTCCTTGGTGGTGCTGATGAGCACAGGAGCTTCACCTGGCAGGCATCTGTACTTTTTCTATTCAGTGTGGGGTCAAGGAGGCCTCAGAATAATATTTTAAACTCTATCCTTCTTGTAGCATGTATCAAGTAAAGTTTTAACACTATGTCATAAAGATAAATAAAATATAATGATAGGACAAACATACAATATAAGAATGGAGCTCAGTTAGGGGGTCATTTTATTACTGAAGGAGGAGGTGGTCAAGGCTAATACACACGGTGATCATGGAGACAGAAATAAATGGCTTGAGATTATGTTTTAGAGGGAAAAGTAACATTATTTGCTGATGGCTTCAGCATAGAACATAAGAAAAGGAAGAAATTAATGAATTCCCAGGATTTTAGAATAAGCACTTTGGGAACACATGAGACTCTGGGACATAGTGGTAAGAAATTTTGCTGCCAACCCCAAACCAAATACTTTAAATCCACTAGCTGCTCTCTGGAAGAAAGATGGAAATCTCTTCCTGTACAATTCTCTGCCTCTGAAAACACCATGGAAGATAATGCATGATTCAGTGGTATTTTACAACAATAGCGTAAATGATAGGACAAAGTGAAAACAGAAGAAAAGGAAAATTATCAGTATGAGAATATGAAATGCTATAAAAGCACTGTTGTGCATACAGTAATGATAACCACATTCTAGCCTCATTTAACTATAAACATGCAAAGCAACCATATGAAAAGAAAAATGTGATTAGTCATGTGAATCATAATATCTCTAAGATAAAATAAAACTTTCTTATTGAACTATTCTTGAGATTACAGTCATTAGAATTCACTGTAGAGGAGAGTCTTAGATAGAGGACAAGCTGTAATGTTATTTATAGCCTTCATGATAAAAATCCTTGATCTGTATGATGACAATTTTTCTGTATTTTCTTTGAGCATTACACTAACACAAAAATAAAGCATATAAAATAGCTTAAAAATCACAATTATTCATCTAAATGTGGCTTGATCTAGAGTTTGAATTTTAGATTTGACTTGTATTCCATAAAGCAGTCTCCATTAGCATATTTGGCATATTTCAGTGTTAACTAAGTTGGAAAATATGAGTAATATAAGATTGAAGTAATAATAGTAAACTTATTCAGTTACATGCATTAAACAATAACACATGATAATGTATTAGGATGGCATGTGTCATTTGATGTACATTTAATATGTGCTAGAATGGATGTTTGATGATGGCAGAAACAACATAAATCACAACACAAATTACTAAAATTTCATGAGACAAATTGTTATTCCTTGATGCTAATGAATGGGATCCTGTGCAAAATACTTAAGACATATGTTACAGGTGCAGACATTCTGCACAACTCCAAATGGACAGTCTTTCTGCTCATGCTTGACCCTAACTTTTCAATTTGTTTTTCACAGGCATAACACTCTTTAGTCACCCATATGGAGGAGCCTTGCTTAATGAAGACAAGATGTGAGTTGAAGTAATTCTGGGGATGGGTGGAAAAGATCATTAAAATTTACTTGATTGTGTGAGAGGAGAGGATCAATGAGTTAATTAGATGTAATTATTATCTTTTACATTTTAACTTATATTAATAGAATGTGGCATATACAAATAGTAGCACAGGATTTGGGTATTTACTTGTAAAATGTGAGAGAAATTATTATTAAAAGATAAAACTCACTGGCCGACTAAGCTTAAAATGGTGAACATACCATGTAACTGTATTTCTATATAAAATTTTTTTGTTCTTAAGATTACTTTCTTCAAGATTTTCAGATCCAACTAGTATATTTAATTATATTGAGTTGAAATTGTAAAATAAGATATTGGCATAAATATTAATAAATATAGCAGGCCCACCTTGACAATTCTTCATGCAAGTTTTCATCACTATCCAGAAATCCATGTGTGGTGATGAAGCCAGTGCTCATTGTGAGCAGAATCAAGTGTCTGTTTCATCTTCCTGATTAAGAAATAGTTTCTGTCTCATCTTTTTTGACATCTCTCTTCTCAAAAGTTCAAATCTAGTAAGGAAATAATGCATTATTAACATATTTTATAAAGCCTCTTGGCAGCCCCATGTATGTCAGAAAAGAGCTATGCTTCACAGAGTTTTTAATCACTGTTATTTCTTTAATAGATCACCAGACCTTTCTTCTAAGATATCGTTGAGAGGAAGCAAACTTTTAGTATTTTGATCAGCAGATGAAAGATGAACACATTAACCATTTGCACTATCCAGAAACTCCATAATCTTCATATCATCAAGTCTGTTCAAATAAACAATTCCATTATCCTGGGATGTGCTCACCAAGTTGTGCCAAGAAATCTGGAGAACAACCATTTGGCCAACTGACTGGAAGAGATCTATATTTGTTCCCATCCCAAAGAAAGGTGACCCAACAGAGTGTGGAAACTACAGAACAATATAATTGATTTCACATGCAAGCAAGATTCTACTGAAGATCATCCCAAAATGACTGGAACAGCACGTCAGCAGAGAACTGCCAGAAGTCCAGGCTGAGTTTAAACGGGGTCATGGTACTAGGGATATTGTAGCTGATGTTAGATGGATCTTAGCTGAAAGCAGGGAATATCAGAAGAATGTCGGTGTTTCATTGATTATGCAAAGGCATTTGACTGTATGGATCATGACAAACTGTGGCAGACTCTGAGAAGAATGGGAATCCTAGAACACCTGATAGTGCTCATGTGAAGCCTATACTTGGACCAAGAAGCAGGCATCAAAACAGAGCAAGGAGCTTTCTCAAAAAGTTGCAAATAAAGATACCATTTGACTCAGCAATTCCACTACTGGGAATATACCCTAAAGAGACCATAAATGACATCCAAGTAGATATATGTATACCCATGTTTATCACGGCTTTGTTTA